TCTCTCCCTCCTTTTCTCTCTTCCTCTTTTTTTTTGGATCTCTTTTGGCTTATCGCTGGGCCTATTCTTTGTGGAGTTCCCTGCTCTTCTTTTCTGATCTATCTTTTTCTGCATGTCTTGCGCCAGGTATATTTCTTTTTTCTATGCTCAGCATTCCCCCCCCCCCCCCCCCCGGCCCCCTCTCCACCTTCTTTCATTCTCCGCTTGACCCTCCTGTCTCTTTCCACCTCCCCCTTCTCCGTTTTCTCCCTGCCCAGGCTTCACCTCTCTGCTGACTAACCACTTCTTATCTACCTCATTGCTTGTGTACTTGCAGGTCAACAAGTTGCAGCGTCGATTCGGTTGAGTCGTCTTTTTTTTTTTTCTGGTGCCTTGCTTGATTGACGGCATCTTTGTACCTTTTGCTCGTCGGGGCTCTTTCCGCTTCTTGATTTTTTGTGACTGCCCACTGTCGACTCCCGAATACAACGCCCAGTCAGTATAGCTGAACTTTTGCCGCTTGCTGCCGAGGTACAGCTATGTAATGACCGGGCAGCGTCGATTCGGTTGAGTCGTCTTTTTTTTTTTCTGGTGCCTTGCTTGATTGACGGCATCTTTGTACCTTTTGCCCGTCGAGGCTCTTTCCGCTTCTTGATTTTTTGTGACTGCCCACTGTCGTCTCCCGAATACAACGCCCAGTCAGTATAGCTGAACTTTTGCCGCTTGCTGCCGAGGTACAGCTATGTAATGACCGGGCGTGCTATTCGAGTAAAGACGGTAGTGGGTATTTTGTGATCGACGTTGCGTACATTCTTGTTGTTTAGCATTGTCTTGTTCTCCGAAACTTGTCTATCTTTCGTCTTTCGCTCTTTTTGTTTGCTGCCATTTCATCGTCACTCGCTGCATCTCTCTGTGAAACTTGTCTGTCCTTTCATCGCTCACACTTCTTGCCTCTAGGAAGGTAGGTAGGTCGGGGAGTACCATGGTGTTCTTTTTGTTTATCTTCATTTACGTTGCTAAGGGGTCGCGGTGGGGGTGTCCAGTACTTTTTTTTTTTTTTTTTCCGTTTTTTATAAGGGTGACGGCCTTGGGGTATCATCATTGAACTAACCGGCCTCAGGTAATTCGGACGGCCTTTGTTCTGTTCATCTGATAGTATCTGGATTCGAGCTCGAGTCCGTACTTCAACAGTTCATGGGCGTACCAACTGAGCTACGCCGGTTGGTGTCCACTGCTTTGTCAAAAGGTGCTTTATAAAAGGGTGAGGGAGGTGGTATCGAGTGCTGTATAACGTGTATGACTGTATGGTATAGCCCTCTTACAGGGGTGTAAAAGTGTTGAGGGCAATGTAGCTTGTGCAGCTAGGTTACGACTTTGAAATTATGAGAGATCCAGGAGTAGTTTGCTCCACACAGAAGTGGATACTACCTTCTTCCCCTGAGTACAGCGTACGGTCATTATAGCTGTGCATTTAGACTGAAAGATACCCCAAATACAGCTATAATGACCGTACATTGTATTGCGTGGGAAGCAGGTAGGTAATAGGTAGCGTGGATGGCTATAGAGCGCCAGGGTACAGCAGCATTGTGATTTATCGTTGGGAAGGTGTTGAACCGAAGAATTCAGCATCGTGCTGGATTTGAACCTGTGACCTTCAACTTAGAAGGTTGTTGGTCTGTCCAGCTGACCTTCAACTTAGCAGATTCTTGCTTCCAAGTGCCCCTGTACAACTGGATGTAACACAGCTGGACGGTGTAGTTGCTCACAGTCCCGGAAAGTGTGTCCAATGGCGGCAATGATGCCTCCTTGGGTGGGGACTCGTCAAGGCATGATGGGCAAAATCCCCTTTTGGGGTGGAAGTGGGAGGTTTTCATTTTTCCCCTGTGGGGTTTGGGACTGTGTGTGTGTGTGTGTGTGTGTGTGTGTGTGTGTGTGTGTGTGTGTGTGTGTGTGTGTGTGCGCGCGTGGGTGCGTGGATGCGTGGATGCGT